AAGTGGCATCAAACTTTCACAGGCAATGGTAGCTAGCGCGACCTTCACTAAAGTTGCTCAGAGGCCGAGACACCACCGATCAATAGCCAGCGTCACACGCAAAGTGCGGTCACCGTCTCTTACCGATACTTACTGTTACTTGTTCTTATATTGCTGCTCAGTGTGTGCTGTATCAGCGTATGACATTAGTTCGCTGCGGGATCTTACTAATGATGTACTTACACAATGCTCATCCTGTCTGTGTTAGCTGAATAACGGGTTATCTCTCGACTCTCTATAAACGTCACAATCATGTGCCGAGTACTAGCCGTGAAAATGTTAACGATGTGCTTTGATGTTGAGGTCAGTGTACGATGTCTATACGTGCGTATAACTGTATCAAGTTCTAGTTGGTATTATCTGGTAACGACACATGTGATCCATATTTACTCACTTGCGGATGTACATACGTACGTTCCGTGGAGGTTCCCAGTACTTTCCATGATAAAAAGCTTTGAGAAATGAGGGTAAAAATCAAAAATGTAATATATCGGTAGATATATGTGTGTATTGTAACGGTCGGGTAATTATGACAGCTTTTCATGTCAAAAGCGTATTCGCATATGACATTGTACAACATGAAAAAGTAATGTCTGTCTCGCAAATGTAAATAAAGGTTTTCGTTTACAAACGTTATTTTACAGATTGGTTACCAGAAGTGGAGCAGATGATACAGGACATGCTGAAGATGGTTAGCTCTTTCACCGAGCTTTTTGCAGACAGCTGAACAACAGGCTGATGTCACGAATGGGTGTCATCTGCGATCCCAATAACCGACGTACCTATATGCACGCTAAATGATTTACGCTAAGTTATTATTTGCACACTTAATTTAAATATAAAGAGTTGTTCGATAATTATCCGAACTTCTTCGCGAACACTGACTTCCACTAAATGCCACAATGAAAGTATATCTTTCTCGGGAATAGGTACGTGAGCACAATACGAGAAATTGTTGACTGCTGAAAGTAACACCGGGTCCTTCTCGGAGCCAGTTAATCAGTATAATTCTTTAGGCCGTGTTCTGAAGTCTGAACATACTTCCAAAACGATACACTGTAGCCCCATGGAGTCTACCATAATCACGGCCCGGGAGGCGTGTGTATTTTCCCGACAACCGGCGTTATCTGGCGATGACCTCAGCTGAGCAGTGATCCGCCTCGCCTGCTGTCGTACTCGTACATTTCGACTGCCTGGGGGGGGGGGGGGGGGACTCGCTCATCTGATGCGTACTTACTACTTACGTCGCCAGAGCGTGGTCACACAGCTGGGTGAGATCGGCGCCTGTCACCGGGTCAGCTGGGTCAGTCGGACCCGGGTGACCTCGCGAGGGCAGTGCGCCCGGCCCGCGACTGGGGCACTGGGACAAAGTACCCTGCTGACCTTGGGACCGGAGGCGCCGGCGTGGGCAGGGGCGTTTTACAATCGTCTACAGTCCAATGGCCACATCGGCACGCAGTTACAGACGACCTCTGGTCAGATCTGGATCCATTGGCTGTCATCAGGCGCGAGGAGAGGTCAGAACAGAGACGAGAGCGTAAGGTACAAACACGTACTTCTTCTGAGGTAAAGCACATGTGCTCAGGTAGCTTGACGTATTTGACCCGATGATCTGAACTTCAGTCGTTTGATGCTAAACGCTCGTATAATACACACAAATGGTGTGAACCAAGGTATGGCCAAGATCCATCCCAGAGCTGAGTTAGAAGAGCGTTGGACACCAGGCTGCCTCCCGGCCCGGGTTTGAGTCGCTCCGGCGCTCGATATGTGAGACTCCTGACGAGGATGGCTCCAGCCAGCCTGCTACAAATATGCAATGCAAACATCCTGAGATATGTTAACCCTCTAGTGCCCCCGGTATCATATCTGTAAGTCAATTTGCAGAAAATTCGCCTGCTAATCATAGACGTGAAAATTGTTGAAAACCCTGCTGTATCAGAAGTGGTACGTCTTGGCAACCACCTGGTGGCAAAATTTTTAAGTAATGATTTCTCAGTTTCCCACCAGGTGATTTTGAAGAGGGTCAGTTTGTCCTTTGCCGAAAATCAATTTGAGATTCAAGTGTAAATTTAAACATTTAGAAAACAAAAAATCAGTTATTTGGAAAGAATCTTGGTATACTGTGAGACAAATGTTCAACATATATCATAGTATGTTGCAAAGCATCGCAACTTTTTCTGAGTCAAAGATATGGACCCCTATTTTTGGGGATACTAGATATGATACAGTGGGCATAGCACTCCAATATTTCCTATGAAATTTTCGCCGCTGCAACATACGGTGTGCCAATACCATAGTTTTCTCAGGTGATAAGTATTGCAATGGCCTGTGAGTCATTGCAAATGACGATGGTACAAGATGCAAAAATTTGTGAAGTTCGCACCTCTTGCGCCAGATCACTCTATTTCGCTCCAGACTTAAAATGTCATAACGATATTGGTACGCTTATGCCGCCTCTCATCCTTGTCAATCTTCTAACATCTAGCTTTCTATAAGTGGCCTTACATGCCTCATACATCTCGACTTTTCTAACGCTCATAGGAATATGGTTTTGCAACTGTTTGACGATGACAATAGTGAACTAAGAACTTTTTGATCTGCAGGACACTAGCAGACCATATCTATCTTCTAAAACCACGTTAGGAATGACATGCTATCGATGACAAGCTTGTTGATTTCAAGGAACGATCATCCGTGCGAGCATTTATACTCGTGAAGTGAAACCAAAAATTGAGACTTGATGTTAGGGACAGGAGGATTCAGCGGTCTCTTGCACAATTTCGATATTCCAACAGGGGTTGTGGACGGGCTTATTTATGTCTGTGGGTCTATATGTTAGCTGGGCATGGCTGAAGACTTGCATTAGCAGCCAGCCAGCATTTTTCATTCATATTGGAGAACGACTCACAATTTGTTTGCGATTCAAATCTCCTCCGTTCATCCCAGTAGTAAGAGATTGAATGTGGAGTGGAAAACTATATCGTCATCTTCAGAGGGAGCTGGCTAAACGGGCTGGCCATGAAGACATGTCCGGACCGAAGGGCGTGGCTCCTTTGATTTCCTTTCTCCAGGTTCCAGCAGGTGCCTGACACCTGGCAAGCATTTTCACTGCCAGGTATGTCATTTGTCATTTATTGACATATACCGCCAACTGTGGTAGCTGAGTGCCACTGAACAAAAAAGATCTATAGGTACTAAAACATGGATACTACTTTTGTACTGACCATAAGAATAAAAGTTAAAGTGCGGCATTGCGTAATGCGTATGCTCACCTCCATATGAGGGCAATGAATATTGTGCAAGTTCCTGCCGATCGGTGCACAGTTACCTGTACCTTTGTTGTCTGACACGTACAACGGTTATTGCACTGGTCAGTGCGCGGCTGTTATACTGACGCCGATGACATCAGGACTGCACGACCAGTCAAAGTACTAACTGACGATTCACAGGCTGAGAGTTTCAGTCACCCGAGATTGTCCGGCTATCATGAAGATAAACCAACATCGTCTTTGGCATTGATTCCAGTCCGTCGGCAGTCTGTCCAGCATTTTGCATCAGAACTGCTTCATTTCAACCACTTACCGCGAGCCAACTGCAATGTCTTCATTTCTGTATCAAGCATGCATAACGCATCTACGTTTGAGAAGCATGGCCCACATGTCTGAATTATGAAAAAATTGCACAAGTGCAACGCGCTGTATCGTGGAAATTGAAGGAATAGAAGGCACTCGTAAATAGATGTCTATGATAAGCGTTGTTCCCTAAGCACCGACTGAAAGGGCATTTTTATACAAGAAGGCTGCCAATGAAATATTGAAATATTAAGAAAATGTTCTGATAAAAAGTGCACAGTAAAGGAGGTCTTGTTGGCATTTTACACATTTTAACTGCCACTTTTATCACTGAAATTTTTAATAATATATATTTTCTCATCTATGTCTTCACTTCCTTCTGTGTGGTCTGATACCACTAATAATTACCAAGTGGAATGCCCAATGTATCATATTTGATACAAAATTTATTTCCGAAATTTGAACTGCGAAAAAATATTTGACTCCAGATTTCGAACAAGGGACCCAAAATGAATCATATGTGACAAGGTACTAATTTTAGGAACCGTGGAACTATGTGTGGGCATTAGAGGGTTAAAGGGACTATCCCACCTTTAACATGGGGTTTGAGTTGAGATAGCCAAGTTTGCGGCGAGGTTCAGAAACCACTATCTATCTAGGTTGCAACCCCCGCGGCCTCTTGGTGTTGAAGAAATTCGTTCCCTTCATTTAAAAATGGGCCTTGTACAAGGCCCTATCTTCAACATGGAGCGACCGTTAGTGTGACGTCACCTCGTTAAGTCATTCTGATTTAAATGGGTTTGTTCGTTGAAAAATCGCTTAAAACTTGGTCTGAACTTGTTGTGGTGCCTACAGAGTAAAAAGAATCAGCTTTATGACAGTAATGTGGCCTGGGGAAGGAGGTAATTTTGGGCTGTGACGTCACATATTTGAAAGTTTGTGTTTGGAATATGGGAAGCCTAAGATGTTTAATGAAAAATAAATGCCAGAACCGTGTTCCTGGTCATTCAATCTATAAAGTCGGGCACAATTTAATTGGTTTTAACAACATTTTAGAAGGTGGGATAGTCCCTTTAATCAATTCTATATTACAAAAGGAGAATTACAAAGGGTGTTTCTAAAGGAAGTTACACCGGTGGACCAAGAAGAGCAGCATTCAATGCTGTGGGAACATATGAAAGCAAGCCACAGACTATAACAACTATGTACATAGGCATAAGTTGCCTCTCATATCCAAAGCATAATACCTAAAATAATAGCTTACTAGAAATGCTATAAGCGTTTCAGATTAAACATTTACTGAGTAAATTGTTGACTCATTCAATGAACCAATAACACTGAAGTCGAGCTCACATTCCACCTACAAAAACCGGTTTACCAGCTCAGCTCCGATTTCGACGTAGGTGACCTTGCGTTAGGTAATTTCGAGTGTCCTATAAAAGAGCCCACGTTACGTTCGAAGTCAACCAGTGCTCCCAGCACCAGCATCCAAATCACACCTAAAAAGTGAATCCAGTTCGCACAATGAAGGTCAGTTGACACAAATGGATGGGAAACACCTGAGATGATGATATGATTGCTAAAAGTTATACACAATTTGGTTTGAAAAAGCTGCTTATTGAGGAAACATTTCTGGAGTTGAATGAAAAAAAGAGGCAGAAATTATCAGAACATTGTATGAAGAAACTTCCATATATCTGTTACATAATCGTTTTGTCCGTTTTCTCAGGTTCTGTTTGTCCTGTTTGCCCTGGTGGCGGCGGCCTCGGCCAGCGATCTGGGCCAGTACGGAGACGATCAGGAGCACCAGGACGTCGAACACACCCCCTACGAGTTCAGCTACGCCGTCGAGGACGACGACACCGTGTTCTCTCAGAGCGAGCAGGGCGACGAGGAGGGTGACGTGGAGGGCGAGTACGCCGTCAACCTGCCCGACGGCCGTGTGCAGACGGTCCGCTACTCGGCCGGCGACGAGACCGGCTACACGGCCGAGGTCAGCTACGAGGGCGAGGCCCAGTACCCCGAGCAGGACTCCTACGAGCAGGAGGAGGAGCAGGAGGACGATGGAGAGGAAGAGGAGGAAGAGGAGGAGGACGAAGAGGAGGAGGGAGAGGAGGAGGAGGAGCTGATTCCTATCTATGCCTACCGGCCCGTGTACAACTAGTCAGTGTCAATGTCGTGTGTTTATTTAATATGTTTAAAGCATTTTCATCAATTCTTTGATGAAGTAATGTGTTGTGTCAATTTCACCCTCGATATGTGAACCAACCATGTTTTGTCAGCTGTCTGTTGTATGTTGAATAATAGATGCATGTTCCTATCAAAAGTTGATTGTTTCCACCAAATGAGAGGGATTTTGGATGACAATCCTAACGTATCATATAAGTTAACCCTCGCCGGACCTATTGGCTTTCTACATACGCGCCGGCCGAGGGGGGGGGGGGCGGGTACGACCCCCCCCTCGCCGTTTCGCCCCTGGTGGAGCTAGCGCGTCGCGGAAAAAACGAGCGTGTGCGCCGTTACGAGACGCAGAGATTGGTACCCGATTTTAAGGTCCTAGGTCAACCGGTGACCTCTGAGGTCAGGTCAAGTGCCCCAGGGTACGGTTCAGTTTTTGGCGAATAACTTCGCAAAAAACGGCCGCAGAGCGCCGATTTTGGCAGCATTGTGTTCGCCTCGCTCAGGCGCGTCGAATGATATACCTTTTGTCCGGGTCAGGTCAACTTGGGGTGTTGACCTCAGGTCAAGGTCAGGTCAGCACCCCCAGGTCACGAAGTTGGTCGAAAGAGGTCATGTCGCATATCATTCGATTCGGCAGGTCTTCCTGAGTCCATTGGTGCCTTTCCCGACTCGCTAGCTCAATTTGATCAAGAGTTATTGACGAAAAACTAATTTGACCTTGATGACGTCATAAATGACGTCACGCAAGGTCAACATTGCAAAAGTGACGCATCTAACCTTGCAAGGAGTGCATCAAATCACGATTCTGTGTGCTTGAGATAGTTGGAGATCGTTCCCGGCGCCAGAATAGCAGTTTGAATTTTTCCCCGTTGACTTATAATGGTGAGGTCACGAAAATGACCTGACCTCATATGACCTTTAGGAAAAATCCGAGATATACAAGTTGTGGGACTCATAATGGATACTAGATCCTGCAAGTTTCATTTCCCTGTGACATCTCCTCTGGCAGTGAGGGCGTTGCGAAGTTGCGACATCTGAAGACCGTGCAGAGGTTCACGTATGACGTCATAGGTCAGTGACCTGACCTGACCCAAAAATGCGGTTGGTGTCAAAAGATCCGGCTTGGATCAAAGGTCAGGTATGCCAAGTTTCAGCTTTCTATCGCCAGCGTGTTCGGAGCTATCGCGAAAAAAACCCTATGGGGGGGGCGGCACCCGCCCCCCCCTCGGCCGGCGAGGGTTAACCCGCGCCCCACTGGGGGGGGGGGGGCTATTTATAGCCCCCCCTCCCGTTTTTCTGCAATAACTTCCAAACCGCTTGACGAATCGATGCCAAACTTTCAGTACCTTCGGCTGCATCAATTTGACACCTTGTGTCAAAATTTGAACTTCGTAGCTACTATAGGTCGGCCGGAAATGACGTCAGAGTGACGTCATGTTCGTCCGATTTCGACGCAAAACATTGAACCACGGCAGTCGCTCCCAAGAGCTCAGTTTTTAAGCTAGATCCAATTTCTTTGCATGAAAGAACTCAGAATTGACCGCGCTATCAAACTGCTATCTCGGATTTTCAAAGTTTTGAAAATTTCGAAAATTTTATATAATAATATTCAAAATTTATATTTTTATATTTTTTTCAAAAAGTTTTTGAGTTTTCGAACAAACCGGAATATATGTGACAGAAAGCATGATTATGACTAACTCTAGCAAGTTTTAGCTAAATATCTTCAAAAATGGCCAAGTTATACGCATTAGTGCAAAAAATTCACAATTATTAATTTTTCAAATCAATTTTTCAGTACGTATTTGGCATCGTACACCAATATAAATGGCACCATCGTGTTTCTAAGCTCAAACTGCATCCAATAGACACCTTTTTTGTTGAAAAATTTCAACTTCAAAATTTGACCTTTTTTGACCTGAAAGTGACCTGACCTAAGCTAATTTCGACTCAAAATGACCTTGAATGACACAGACGACATCAAATTCGAAATCTATGGCCTAAATGGACCATAAAACATGTGTCACGTGACCGACGCATGATATAATATTTTCGTGACCTGTGATGACCTGACCCTGACCTGAAAATCAAAGTACAAGTTTGGTACCCTCAAGGTATCTAGAGCATCTGTTCACGAGTGTGGAAACCAAAAATGAGCCTGATCTGACTTGTAAGACGGCGGCCAGAGCCCAAAATGTGAACAAGCCAAAGTGCTAATAATTTTTACTTTGACCTGACCTGTGACGTCATCGGTGACCTCGAGGTCAATGAAATTAGGTTTCGCTCGACAGTTTTTCCGGGGCTATCAGACGCCGTTTGAATTTTGACGATCGGCCCAGTAGTTTCGGAGTTAGGAGGGGGGGCTATGAATAGCCCCCCCCCCCCCAGTAGGGCGTGTTATACACAGACCCCAGTGGGGCGCGGGTTAATAGGCATGGAAGCTCAAAACACACGGAATCTCTGGGAGACGCAATAGGTATAAACGATGTCATGCACTTCGTGCCCTAGACGGAAAGCTCTCACTTCAGTGTTTTAGCAGCTTGGCATCATAGATATAAAGACTAGATAGGACAGCCCTATGTAAAACCCGCTCGCTAGATACACGTAAGCGGCCCGGTCCTAGATGCGGCCCTAGATGTACGTAAAGCGGCCCGGCGGCCAACCACAGCCGACATCATAGACTCGCTAATGCCTTCCCATGTTAAAAAGAGCATTTTGACGGACTCGTACGAGTTTTTGAATGCGAGTTACATATCATAAAGGGTCTCAAATGAAGGATTGGACCGTCTTCTTGTTAGGATCCACGTTTTTTTTGTGGCTGACATGCCTCTGACAGCTTGCAGGACCCTTCCTAACAGGACACTGCAGTCTCGGCTTGTAATGTTGTGGCAATGGGAAGAATGATATTTTAGATGGGTCAGTGGGGATTTCCGCATGGAAATGAGAAGTAGGAGCGGACAATTGAAAGACTTATAATTCATGCAATGACATTTCATTTTGATGCAGGAATGGCCCCTGACAGCCTGTGAGTTCACTGATTGACGGCATGTATTGCTGTCTGAACTTCGCATGTATCTGTTGCAGACGACGTGGGAGCCAAGAAAATGAGTGTTTAAACACTGGTGGAATTTTTTTTTTTGAAACGTTCAAAGAAAATGAGAGTTTAAACACAGGTGGAAATTTTTGTTTGAAACGTTCAGACATGTGATTTGATGCTGCTCCCATACATTAAGGGTGGATGTCAAGGTCACCTGAAGGTCAGGACAGGTCGATGACCTTTAGTGTCCTCGGTTCACTTTTTCGAGCTTTACATGTTTCTATGCTAGTTTTTGGAGCTCAATTCGAATTAAGAAACCATTTAAACATTTACAAGGTAACTTTGGTGCCTTCGTAACATGTTACGAAGCTGTCAGAGGCGGTTGACACGTTCCACGAATACCTGTAACGACCCCTACTGGTTGACCTGACCTGACCTGACCCGACCTGGTCTAAATGCTTAAAGACATCAGTTGTGATCAAAACTAACACGATATTCGTGATCAGCACCCCGAAAACCCCTTTAGCAGCCACACTTTATGACTTCCTAACAGGTATCGATTTTCCCGACTTTTGGGTCATTGACCTGATCTGGAAGGTCAGCCGATGACCTAGGACCTTAAAATTGGGTATCATCGGCTTCCTCTCGTCACGGGTAACACGTTCGTTTTTTACGCGAAGCTCTAGCTCGATCAGGGGCCATACGACAAGGGGTCCAACCGAACCCCCCCCCCCATTACGTTAGAAGCTGGCAAGCACCACACACATGCGAGGTTTAATTCTTACTATAATGTGTATAACTTAGCTATTTTTGACGATATCGGGCTAGAACTTGCTTAACTATATCATAAGCATGTTTTCCATCACATATATTCCGTTCAATCAAAAAGTCAAAAGGTTTTGGAAAAAATGAAAACATAAATTTTGAAATGTAATATATACAATTTTCAAAAAACAAATTGAAAATTACAGATACCAGTTTGATAGCACATTGTATTCTGACTCCCGTCATGCAAAGAAATTGGATCCAGCTCATAAACTGAGCTCTTGAGAGCAATTTCCATAGTTCAATGTTTTACGTCGAAATCGAACGAACATGACGTCACTCTGACGTACTTTCCGGCCGGCCTATAGTAGCTACGAATTTCGTATTTTTTAACACAAAGTGTCAAATTGTTGCCGCCGAATTAGGTACATACTGAAAGTCACGCTTTAATGTGTCTCGCGGTTTAGAAGTTATTGCAGAAAAACGAGAGGGGGGCTATGAATAGCCCCCTCCCCAGTGGGGCGCGGGTTAAAGGATATCATAAAAACCAAATTGAGCTTTACAATATCTATACCTTGGATGGTTCATACGTCCTACCATGAGGTCAGATAGGTCACTGGCATCACTACGTTTCAAGTCAATTGAGTGACGCAGAGTGAATTGATGACGCAGTTTGAGCAGGTGGCCAACGCTCAAACTGCGCTGGCCACCGGCTTACAAGTCAGATAAGGCTCATTTTTGGTTTACGCACTTGTGAATAGATGCTTTAGATGCCCTGAGGGCACCAAACTTGTTCTTTTATTTTCAGGTCAGGGTCAGCTCAGCACAGGTCACGGGAACTTGCAGTCCACCGTTTTATCTCCGCTGCTCCTATAAGTTGATATATATTGCTGCGATTCGCAAACAAAAACATCAAACAGTATTATGCGAGCTCAAATCGACCAGTGATAAAAGTCCTAGCTCAGAATACAAAGGGAGGCTGATGCATGCACACTGCACAGCATTTGTTTAATGATTTGGGCTTAATTCATACCTGTGGACCAGGCATGGAAAAAATGAACGATTGCTGGTTTCATGGGGGCTGACCATCCCATTCTTAGCATTGAGACTAACATGCAGGCGCGGATACAGGGGGGGGGGGGCCATGGGGGCCATGGCCCCCCCTTGGCCGATTTTTTTTCAAAAATAAAATAAAAAGTTAAAAAGTTAAAAAGCTGAAAAGGGGGCCTCCTGAAAATAAAGTGGCCGAAATCCGATGAGTTTTTTTTTTAACCTACCCACTTAGTTATTTCTTAGAAGACTAGCTAAGAAGACTTCTTTGTTAGAAGATTGGTAAAGCTTTTCATAACTTGGAGGTCTCTTATACTCACAGAGATGACCACTTTTACAGGGCCTCCTAACCTGCACAGAGGGCCTCCAAGCCTGCACAGATGTTGAGATGTTGCCTGAACAGCTAGATAAGCTCAATAGACGCAGTTTTTTTTGGGGGGGCCAACAAGTGGGAAGATGGGGCCTCCAACAGGTGGGATTATGGGGGGGGCCTCCTGGTTTCTAATGGCCCCTCCCTTGGAGATTTTCTGGATCCGCCCCTGCTAACATGAATGCTCGACTTGAGAAGTGCATAACAAATGATGACCCAAAATCGATGACGAGAATATCTTTAGTACACCCCAACTATTGGTGCACCAGCGTATGACAAAAACCGGTTTAATGAGGCTCTGGCTCATTATTACACACTGACCTATCGGCGTGACCTTGCGTAGGACGGTGTCTGCGACCCACTATAAATGGTGTCATGTGCCGACTGTGACCATCAGTGCTCACACGTCCTCTCTGAGATACACACACCTCAGCAGTCCACTGCAGTCGCCGCTATGAAGGTGAGGAAGGTGAATACATATGTGAAGAGCGCTGCTGAACGGGTATATTGATCTTTGTTTGTATGCGGGCTGAAATGCGTCATAGGGCTCACTTGGCACTTGTTCATTGGTTTACACACATATATAGACACTTCTATCGTGGCTTCTGTAAAAGAAATTAGGTGTTTTTTTATCTGATAAGCTTCTCGAGCTGATATTTTATAGCGGAAACTGTTTTGTCATGGAATTTTGATTACGAGAAATATAATTATGAATATGCAACATATACCATCCATACAAAAAAATGTCATAATATTTCCCATCAATGTCCTTGACCACTGATCTGTTTGTTTCTCAGGTTCTGTTTGTCCTGTTTGCCCTGGTGGCGGCGGCCTCGGCCAGCGATCTGGGCCAGTACGGAGACGAGCAGGAGCACCAGGACGTCGAACACACCCCCTACGAGTTCAGCTACGCCGTCGAGGACGACGACACCGTGTTCTCTCAGAGCGAGCAGGGCGACGAGGAGGGTGACGTGGAGGGCGAGTACGCCGTCAACCTGCCCGACGGTCGTGTGCAGACGGTCCGCTACTCGGCCGGCGACGAGACCGGCTACACGGCCGAGGTCAGCTACGAGGGCGAGGCCCAGTACCCCGAGCAGGACTCCTATACGAGCAGGAGGAGGAGCAGGAGGAAGATGGAGAGGAAGAGGAGGAAGAGGAGGAGGATGAAGAGGAGGAGGGAGAGGAGGAGGAACTGATTCCTATCTATGCCTACCGGCCCGTGTACAACTAGTCAGTGTCAATGTCGTGTGTTTATTTAATATGTTTAAAGCATTTTCATCAATTCTTTGATGAAATAATGTGTCGTGTCAATCTCACCCTCGATATGTGAACCAACCATGTTTTGTCAGTTGTCTGTTGTATGTTGAATAATAGATGCATGTTCCTATCAAAAGTTGATTGTTTCCACCAAATGAGAGGGATTTTGGATGACAATCCTAACGTATCATATAAGTTAATAGGCATGGAAGCTCAAAACACACGGAATCTCTGGGCGACGCAATAGGTATATACGATGTCATGCACTTCGTGCCCTAGACGGCAAGCTCTCACTTCAGTGTTTTAGCAGCTTGGCATCATAGATATAAAGACTAGATAGGACAGCCCTATGTAAAACCCGCTCGCTAGATACGTAAAGCGGCCCGGCGGCCAACCACAGTCGACATCATAGACTCGCTAATGCCTTCCCATGTTAAAAAGAGCATTTTGACGGACTCAAACGAGTTTTTAAATGCGAGTTACATATTATATAAAGGGTCTCAAATGAAGGATTGGACCGTCTTCTTGTTAGTATCCACGGTTTTTTGTGGCTGACATGCCTCTGACAGCTTGCAGGACCCTTCCTAACAGGACACTGCAGTCTCGGCTTGTAATGTTGTGGCAATGGGAAAAATGATATTTTAGATGGGTCAGTGGGGATTTCCGCATGGAAATGAGAAGTAGGAACGGACAATTGAAAGACTTATAATTCATGCAATGACATTTCATTTTGATGCAGGAATGGACCCTGACAGCTTGTGAGTTCCCTGATTGACGGTATGTATTGCTGTCTGAACTTCGCATGTATCTGTTGCAGACGACGTGGGAGCCAAGAAAATGAGAGTTTAAACACTGGTGGAAATTTTTGTTTGAAACGTTCAAAGAAAATGAGAGTTTAAACACGGGTGGAAATTTTTGTTTGAAACGTTCAGACATGTGATTTGATGCTGCTCCCATACATTAGGGTGGATGTCAAGGTCACCTGAAGGTCAGGACAGGTCGATGACCTTTAGTGTCCTCGGTTCACTTTTTCGAACTTTACCTACACGTTTCTATGCTAGTTTTTGGAGCTCAATTCGAATTAAAAACCATTTAAACATTTACAAGGTAACTTTGGTGCCTTCGTAACATGTTACGAAGCTGTCAGAGGCGGTTGACACGTTCTACGAATACCTGTAACGACCCCTACTGGTTGACCTGACCTGACCTGACCCGACCTGGTCTAAATGCAAAGACATCATTTGTGATCAAAACTAACACGATATTCGTGATCAGCACCCCGAAAACCCCTTTAGCAGCCACACTTTATGACTTCCTAACAGGTATCGATTTTCCCGACTTTTGGGTCATTGACCTGATCTGGAAGGTCAGCCGATGACCTAGAACCTTAAAATTGGGGATCATCGGCTTCCTCTCGTCACGGGTAACACGTTCGTTTTTTCCGCGAAGCTCTAGCTCGATCAGGGGCCATACGACAAGGGGGTCCAACCGAACCCCCCCCCCCTTTACGTTAGAAGCTGGCAAGCACCACACACATGCGAGGTTTAATTCTTACACGGTGACACAAAAAAGCGGTCATCACCAAAATTTGAATAACTTCGGAACTTTTATTCAGATCATCACCAAACTTCGGCCACTTTAGGGCACACCTATGTAGCAGACATCCACCAAGTTTCAAGTCTTCACTACGAATACTTTTAGTACAGTGTGTGTTTTACGGACGATCCACAATGTGCTCCAGGTGAGCGCCCCGGCGCTGCAGGGCGTAGGCACACCTGCATCCGGCAGGCAAAGTTGCCGATAGGCGATAACCCGATAAGAATAACGATTCAGGGGTAACACCCCCCCCCCCCCGAGCACTGTCTCCAGAGGCCATTGCACTCTGTAAAGTGCACAGCCATCGGGTTATCGACAACTTTGCCCGCCGGATGCAAGTGTGCCTACGCCCTGCAGCGCCGTGGCGCTCACCTGGAGCACATTGTGGAGCGTCAGTAAAACACACACTGTGCTAAAAGTATTCGTAGTGAAGACTTGAAACTTGGTGGATGTATGCTACATAGGTGTGGCCTTAAGTGACCGAAGTTTGGTGCTGATCTGAATAAAACTCCCGAAGTTATTCGAAATTTGGTGATGACCGTTTTTTTGTGTTACCCTGTACTATAATGTGTACGAGTATAACTTAGCTATTTTTGACGATATCGGGCTAAAACCTGCTTAGCTATATCATAAGCATGTTTTCCATCACATATATTCCGTTCAATCAAAAAGTCAAAAGGTTTTGGAAAAAATGAAAATATAAATTTTGAAATGTAATACATACAATTTTCAAAAAACAAATTGAAAATTAGAGATAGCAGTTTGATAGCACATTGTATTCTGAGTCCCGTCATGCAAAGAAATTGGATCCAGCTCATAAACTGAGCTCTTGAGAGCAATATCCATAGTTCAATGTTTTACGTCGAAATCGAACGAACATGACGTCACTCTGACGTACTTTCCGGCCGACCCATAGTAGCTACGAATTTCGTATTTTTTAACACAAAGTGTCAAATTGTTGCCGCCGAAGGTACATACTGAAAGTCACGCGTTCATGTGTCTCGCGGTTTAGAAGTTATTGCAGAAAAACGAGAGGGGGCTATGAATAGCCCCCTTCCCAGTGGGGCGCGGGTTAAAGGATATCATAAAAACCAAATTGAGTTTTACAATATCTATACCTTGGATGGTTCATACGTCCTACCATGAGGTCAGATAGGTCACTGGCATCACTACGTTTCAAGTCAATTGAGGAAATGCTCAAACTGCGTTGGCCACCGGCTTACAAGTCAGATAAGGCTCATTTTTGGTTTACGCACTAGTGAATAGATGCTTTAGATGCCCTGAGGGCACCAAACTTGTTCTTTTATTTTCAGGTCAGGGTCAGCTCAGCACAGGTCACGGGAACTTGCAGTCCACCGTTTTATCTCCGCTGCTCCTATAAGTTGATAAATTGCTGCGATTCGCAAACAAAAACATCAAACAGCATTATGCGAACTCAAATCGACCAGTGATAAAAGTCCTAGCTCAGAATACAAAGGGAGGCTGATGCATGAACAGCATTTGTTTAATGATTTGGGCTTAATTCATACCAGTGAACCAGGCATGGAAAAAATGAACGATTGCTGGTTTCATGGGGGCTGACCATCCCATTCTTAGCATTGAGACTAACATGAATGCTTGACTTGAGAAGTGCATAACAAATGATGACCCAAAATCGATGACGAGAATAGTACACCCCAACTATTGGTGCACCAGCGTATGACAAAAACCGGTTTAATGAGGCTCTGGCTCATTATTACACACTGACCTATCGGCGTGACCTTGCGTAGGACGGTGTCTGCGACCCACTATAAATGGTGGCATGTGCCGACTGTGACCATCAGTGCTCAGACGTCCTCCCTGAGATACACACACGTCACAGCAGTCCACCAGTCGCCGCTATGAAGGTGAGGAAGGTGAAGATATAGGTGAAGAGCGCTGCTGAACGGGTATATTAATTTTTGTTTGAATACGGGCTGAAATGCGTCATGGGGTTCACTTGGCACTTGTTCATTGGTTTACGCACATAGATAAACACTTCTATCGTGGCTTCTGTAAAAGAAATTAGGTGTTTTTTACTGATGAGCTTTTCGAACTGATATTATATAGCGGAAACTGTTTTTTCATGGAATTCCGATTACTAGAAATATAAATATGCGATTGCAGTAAATGCCATCCATACAACAAAAATGTCATAATGATTCGCATCAATAATCTTGACCACTGATCTGTTTGTTTCTCAGGTTCTGTTTGTCCTGTTTGCCCTGGTGGCGGCGGCCTCGGCCAGCGATCTGGGCCAGTACGGAGACGAGCAGGAGCACCAGGACGTCGAACACACACCCTACGAGTTCAGCTACGCCGTCGAGGACGACGACACCGTGTTCTCTCAGAGCGAGCAGGGCGACGAGGAGGGTGACGTGGAGGGCGAGTACGCCGTCAACCTGCCCGACGGCCGTGTGCAGACGGTCCGCTACTCGGCCGGCGACGAGACCGGCTACACGGCCGAGGTCAGCTACGAGGGCGAGGCCCAGTACCCCGAGCAGGACTCCTACGAACAGGAGGAGGAGCAGGAGGCTGAGCAGGAGGAGGAAGAAGAGGAGGAGGAAGAGGAGGAGGAGGAGGGAGAGGAGGAACTGGTTCCCATCTATGCCTACCGGCCCGTGTACAACTAACTAGTCATAGTAAAGGTTGTGTGCTTATCTTTCCTAGGGAAGGGTTTTTGTGAATAACTTTAAGTCTTCTTGCTAATTGTGTGCTATTTGCGATCATTACTCAATGTTTGATGTACTCTATGTGATGTTAAGTGTCAAATAAACATACTACAAAGTACAAAGATCAAAGTGTTTGTATCAACAATGAAGCGTGCGCATTGGGTAAACATAAATGTTCATAGACCCGGGAACAGGGGGGGGGGGGGCAGCGGGGGCGCTTGCCCCCCCCAACTTGGGAGCCGAGGGGGCGGCGCCCCTCAACATTGAGGCAGCGAGAAAGGATCTTTCCTTCCTTTTCCGGACTTCTTTCCTTCTTGTTTCCTTTATACATCTAAACATCAACACACGGCATTTTCCTTGCCATCTGAAAGCTTGCTGCTGATTGCAGTAGGTACAGTATCGATTTGACAACATCTGCTATTGTCATCCCGCTTTGGTTTGGGCCTGCACTTGGCCATATGTTTGGCAGGCCAGATTTTATAATGAACCATTTTGGGTAAACTTTGAGAAATACATAACGTACATACATACAACGGTGGTAAAATCGTTGCTATAGGTGTAACACAGTTTACCCGCGTCCCGCATGGGTGCGAGGAAGGGGTGTGGGGCAATGAGTGCACCGACGTGGCGCCCTCGGAGGGCCGGTATGGGATTAAAGCTCAGCGACACTAAGGGCTTGTGTGGTGCCTTTTGTTATCGGTAGCACCCTCAGAATCACCGGCGAAAGGCCCTCAGAGCCGGCGGTAAGGGGCCCTTAGAGTTTAGAGGCACTGGTGTGGGGCCGTCATGCAGGTGCCGGTGTGGGCACTCAGAGGTGCTAGTGTGATTCTCTCAGAGGCGCTGGTGAGGGTCCTTACAGGCGTTGCTATAGGCCCTCATAGACGCTGGTGTGAAGCCGTTACAGACGGGTGTGGGGCCTTTAGAGCTGCTGACGCGAGCTCTCTACAAGTCGGCAGGGGGTCTCAGTGACCGGCAAGGGGTCCTTAGGCCGACAGAAGAAGTCCTGTGGGGTTCTTTAGAGACCGGCACGGTACTGTCAGACACCGGTGGGGCCCTCAGAGTCACCGGTGTGGGGCCCTCAAAACTCACCAGTGGATGGCCTTTAGATAACATAACATAACATAACATGTATTCCATGTAACAACAGGCCACTTGGGCCCAACGAGGTTACAGGTAGGCGCAGGTGTTGGTTGGGTCCTCGGAGCCGCCGATATAGGGCTTTTAGGCACTGGTGTAGGCACTCAGAGTTGGGGGTGTGAAACCTTCAGAGACACCGATGTGGCCGTGGGCCCTCATAGGCGCCGATGAGGGCCCCACAGTTGCCGTTATGGGGCCCTCAGAAAAATAAGTGCGGGACCATCACAGGCGGGAAATGCCCCTAGAAGTGGCCTCTCATAGGCCGGTAAGAACTCTCAAGAGGCCAGTAACGGGCCTTTGGAGACCACCGAGGGGCCCTTAAAAGCCATAAGAGGCCCTCAGAAGCCGGCGTGGGGCTCTTATGGGGATCTTAGTGTGGCTATTTGGGGCCCGTGAGGTGTTTCTAAGTCGAAATATGGCAATCGTTAGCCCTCAGCGGTCAAATGGCGCCGCAGGGCTCCTCGGACCCCAGGGTCCCTTTGAACCAGATGGGGGCCCACGGTACGTGTCCCCTTAGACCCCTAGCTACGCCACTGTTTCATATGCATCATGTCAGGTATTTTAGGCTCGCCTCCCCCCCAACTTGAAAATCGTTCCCGGGCCCCTGTAAATGTTTCACACCAATTTGCCGGGACTATTTAAAGGGACCCTCCCACCTTAACATTAGATTTGAGTTGAGATAGCCAAAATGGGGTCCCTGGCTCACAATTACCGGTTTCGGCACTCACAACATCGAGAAATGCCTTAAATCGGAAAAATTGAATTTCAAAATTGCAGCATTTGGATCACAGGGGAGCACTGCCGCTTCAACCCTATTGGCCGTAGTGTCTAACGGTGGCGGCCATATTGCGCAGACCAGGAAACGGCTGCCGCCTGTGTTGAGGAATAGGGAATTCGGGACCTCGATTTACGTTTGCGGCCGCCGTATCCGTTACGTTCAAGTTACGTAGATACGGAACCCGGCATCTTACGCAGAATTGAGTGGGGAACACGATCGTATCTTCAAAATTCCTCAAATTCACTCGCCGGACCTACATTTGCCCCGGCCGAGGGGGTTGATTGAAATGGTATTCAAAGATCATGGCGAACAATAAAACATAGGTCTGTCGAAACTGACCAACGCTTATTGTCTATTGATGTAATCGCAAATACCTAATCTACTGATCAATAAATCGCCCACTGGCTTTTAGTAGGTGAAGGTCGTTTTCTGGGATAGTAGGTAGCCTGTGTCATGTGTGCCGTAGGCATTTTCAGAATGTCACCGTCAGCACCGTCACAAAACGTCAAAATATTCACTTCTCTAGCCTTCGCCAACAAGCGCAACATCTCTGACCCAGCACCTCAGTCGTCGCCTCCAATGGCCATGGATAGGTCTTTCCAGGTGACATTATGTAAGTGTCTTATGTCTCTTATCTTACCCCTATCAACAGCGCTATAGCTGCAGTCCAGCGATGACGTCCACAGTTAGCGACCTATCCGGCTTCAAGGCCTTCAAGTGTCAGCACCAGGTGGTCTTTGTACATATCTTGGATGACCACTTCAAAAGCAGGATATCAAATCAATATACCGAATTATATAGCCAATATGGTGCGTTCTGTCAGCTGTAGGACCATATTTTATGCCCGAGGTTGTAGCCCCCTGTGCCCTGGCCCATACCCACAATTATTGCATATGATTGTGACCCGCGCGCGTCATCACACATAGCTTGCGTGTGGCGGGACAGAACTTCCGTACCCACGCTACAATAATTGGTTGAATAATTGAGCGGGTCGTCGCGTTACCCAGTCGCGTGTGGGCCGCCGTCGCTCCGCCCAGCACAACTCTCGGCGCTCACCGGTCATTTGGTGCGCCGCTTCGTGAGGTGTCTTCCTCACATATTCACGAGCTCAGTCGCTAATTATCCGGACAGCAATAATCGGCCGGTCGGCGGTCCCAGCCAGATCAGGGACGGTTTCAGGGATGGATTTTGGATGGATTTAGGTAGGAGGCGATGACGGTCGACAGAGTAGCGACTGTATACGTCTCCATGATCGCCAGATACACACCAATTGCCTGTTTCGGTGACCCATGTGCCTCCCCGACTGCCGCGCCTGGCGGCGCCCCTGCCGGCACGTGGGAGACCAGCAGCTGGGTGCCGCTGATTTTTGGTTACCGATGACGCGGGTGCGCCGTGCCTGTTCCGTAATTAACGGCCGTCGTGTTATGGCCAATAGGATGATACAGAGCGGTTGATCGCAATCGATGGCAGCGCGGATTCACTGCAGACCTGCCTCGTCATACACCGTGGACGGCAGTGATGGGAACGGATCGTAGAGGTAAGTCTGTGCTGAATCGATGGTATAATGTTTGGTGATACTGGCATGGATATGGAGCTCACAAACAAAAGCCGCTACGGCTAATCGTCCAGTGGTAGCCGGTAGGTCATAAGGATACAGGCCTCCGCAGAGATTTGGTGGTGAGCTCCGAGATTACGCAAAGTAGACGAAAGCGAGAACGCGTCTTTCCTTTCTCTAGGTGAAGAGGAGATGGCGTCTACAGGATGTGAAGCCGTTGACGCACCTGTCTCGGGAACAGCGTCTAAACGTCAGACGGGAGGCGGTCTGGGTCGTTTTCAGCCGGTGGACCTGCCGCTGCTGCTGCCGGCGTCCTTCCGAGCCTGTTCCGCCGTCAGCTCTGCCAAGCCTCCTCCGCCTCCGCTTCTGCCCTACCCTGCCGGAGGTCTGACCATGCCGAGTCTCTGGTCGCGCCTACTGCCTCCTGCCAACCTGCCCTCCGCCTGGGGAGTCGCCGGTCCTTCGGAGACGAGCCCGCTGAGCTGCTGGATGCTGCCCGGACCAGCACCACCTCTGTTACCTGCCAGTGCCTTCACTGACCGTTACTCTGGCCAGCCAGCGCTGGATGAAGACCCCCACAGACGGAAGAGTCGGGAGGATGAAACCAGAGAGGCGGACAGTGGATTGGATCGGCCCCGAAGAGAAAATTGGAGGGACCGTGAGCGTAGGGATGACTCGACTGAGCCGGAAGCGAAGAGATGTCGAGCTGACGGTGCCGACAATGTTGTGACGGTACAGATGAAGGATACTCGGCCTCGTTCTCATTCTCCACCATTGCATGTTCAGAAGCTCCTTGGCATGACTGCTCACGACGAATTCCGTAACCATCGCGACACTTGCCCAGGTAAGGAGAGTGGTGACCTCAAGAACGGCGAGTCTCTGGTGGCAGAAAGAGAAGCTGAAACTGAAAAGCTGAAGGCCGATCCTCTTCGTCGCAGGCAAGCTGATGATGCCTCGTCAGATCAGAGCTCCAAGTGGTTTAACCCTCAAGAGAAAGACTTCAACTTCTCTTGGGGTGAAACTCTGGATGCTCTCCAAAAGTCAGATTTAGCGAAACGGTTTTCAAACAAAGATTTACACGTTAAATGTAATGCCAAGGTTGAGCCCGTTGAGCCAAGAGAGTCAACAATGCTGTCTTCAGATGTCTCACGGCTTCCCGAGTTATCAGTTCATACTCATTTTAGGGGTAGCAGTCCGCCGCTGAAGGTCACGACTGCATCAGATCTTTGTGGACCAACTTCCCATATGGCAAGCTCCAGTGCACTATATGGCTGTCAGAATGACAGTGAAAGCGGCAGTCAGGCAGACATTCGTAATCCTTTTCTTGGCAGTTTGAGTGCCATCAGCGTCAGGCAAACTTCCGCCTCCTCCAGTCCATCTCAAAAAGACAAGTCTGGAGGGGAAAATCTTCAGCGTGCCTGTGATCAAAAGTGTAAAGCAAGCGATGTCATCACTTGTCCAACATCCACCGACATCAAATCACCAAGGATAGTCACTCCAACGCTCTTAGACAATGCACCATCTACCACCAGCATCGCCGGCCGCTCATCTTCCTCTTCAGAAATGAGACTACCAGTTCTCGGTGAAAGCCGCCGTCAGAAGAACAACGAAGCTGCGAAGCGTTCCCGTGACGCCCGTCGGGCCAAGGAGGACGGCGTCGCGGTGCGGTGCGCCCTTCTGGAGGCTGAGAACGTCCAGCTGCGTCTGGAGATGGCCTGGCTGAAGAACGAGACGGCCAGGCTGAAGTACGTCCTGTACAGCACCTGAGGGCACGTGTTGTGAGCGACTGGAGGCACGGAAAGACAGGAGATTGATGGATGATTGTGACAGGCGTTTTTGTAGGTCGGGAATCTAATATATGCAGGGTAAGTTTTAAAGGGACAAAGGGGGAAGTTCCCCTTCGAAAATTCCGCTCCCCCTTTCAAATTTCAATTTGCGTTTCCAACCATTTTCAGTGCAGCGGGAACTCCAGATTTGGCCCGATACCGATCGGATGGTCGCTGGGACCGTCTCTTCGCACTCACTGACATATCGGTACAAGCGTCGGCGTAGAAACCGGTGGAGGATGGAGGGCATGAGTCATGACCTCCCCGAACTTTATTCCCCCTCTCAACTTTTCCTATAAAAGTAACTCTGAATATATGTGTTTTGCTAGTGTTGTCTGAACTGTGTACATTTTGCTTATGCATCTAATTCTTCAAGCCTTTTCCACATTAGCGTCGCCACGGGGGGGCAAGCGGGGCAGCTTGCCCCCCCAACCTCGGACCGGGCACCCCCTGAGATCGATACAGATCCGATGAGATTTTGGAGTCGGGAAAAAATGGGGGTACCTTTCTGAGAATGCCTGTGAGGTCAGACTCGGTTGCAGCAAGCAGTTCAAACCAGAGTCTGACTCGCAGTCGCCAAAGTCTTGAAGACTCCGATTCCAGACTCGGAAATGTCAATGCTGTGATTCATTCCATGTTCCTAGTTCGTTCTTTATTACATTTTACATACGTTTTTTCATAAGTTTTGGAGTGCTGATACAATTTTCGTTCAAAGCGTGAAACGAAATCTTCGGGGCCTTTCTCAACTCTCGTCAAATGTCTGCGACAGGCTCAAGTACAGTACAAGTGTTGCAGGGCTCATGAGCTTGCTTTAACCCTCAAGGGCTCCTAAGGAGCTCCACTGAGCCCTAAAGAAGCCTTCAGAGGGCCCGAACCGGCCTCTTAAAGTCCCACTGGTGTCCATGTTCTCTGAGGGCCCATACAGGGATATTTGAGCCTTCGAACATTTCTGAGAACCTGGCCTCTGATAGTTCAGCCAAACTTTTGAGGCGACAGACTTTGCTAACCCCAAGCCGGCATCTGAGGGGTCACAGCTCACGTGTCCCTCTGAGGTCCGCAACACATGTTAATTATGTCCCTACGTAGGGTCCTTAGGGATTCGACACAGACCCCCAGGGTTCACACTGCTATCCGAGGGCTCCAGGCTCACCCTGGGCCTAGTCTCTTAGCGCCCGCCGCCCACACTGGCTTCTGAGGGCCCCACCTTGGGCTCGGAAAGCCCTAAAGCACCACGGTACGTAAATATTTGAGGTGACCCACGCCGATCTCCGGAATCCTAAGCATGCTTCTGAGAGTCAGCACCGACCCTGAGTGGCCTAAAATGGCCTGGAAGTCCCAAACCTATCTCTAAGGTATCCCTTGCCGCTATGCCGTGCGTAGCTTCTGGTTCCGTTTAACAGTTTTTGTTCGCGTTTGCAGCGCTTCCCTTCACACGAAAAACGAGAAACTTTTGTTCACACTCGAGTGAACAAAACACTTCCTCTCACTGGAGCAAAGATGAATTACTTCCGATTCATACTTCCGACATTCACTCTCCGCCGAATGCCCAACTTAGCTACGATCGGCGGCTGGGATAAGTCCTATGCATTTCACGTAAAACCTCTGCATGCATGCGTGAATGGAGGTTTTAGCAGGGTGATCCGATTAAATGGAGCGTTTTCACCTTTTTCTGGGCAATGATCATGAGCGTCGAGCGTCTGCACAGGGGCCCTCTGCAGTGCGTCGGCAATCGCAGCCACTATATACTATAATTCTACCAGTCGTTTTTGTCATGAAATTTCAAAATTTCGAATTTTTCTGTAAAAAAAAAAAATACATGTCATAGCTAGAAGGAAACCTTTGTCGCCATCGGATTCCTCTCACCATTGCGCGTCGAATGGTATGTAAAACGAGTGAGTAAAGACTGGGGAAAGGCAAGTTTTAACACAAAAGTTGATTTTGCCCCCCCAACCGAAAATCTCTGGCGACGCCTATGCTTTTCCATTAATGATTTGAGGTATATGCAAACAAACTGAATTACGCTGAGTGTTAAGACGAGCACAGACCACAGTTTACGAGTTGCTTGCAATAGTTTCCTAATGACTGATGACGGGTTGTAGGGATATGACCGTTCGTGGCAATAAACACGGTGTCTTGTAGTTAGAACCATAGGCGTAGGAACAGGGGGGGGGGGGGGCGGGGGGGCCATGGCCCCCCCACTTTCGGAGGTGGGGGGGGCAGCAATGTTAACTGCCCCCCCCCCCACTGTTTGCTGACTTAAGTGTCTATCTGTACCTACCACCCGCCCACCCGGTACCCTAAACACCAGAACTTGACAACTATTCAGCTTGCCCTTTAGTGAAGATTCCCTTTTGTTTCTACAGCGTTATTGACCGCAATTTCCTTCACTCAATGAAGAAAACCATATCAGAGACAAGACTGTGAGTCCTGGTGCCGCAGCGTTTTGTTGATTACGATATACGGGACAGCGAGCACTGAAAAGGTATAAAGACAATACTAGCACGGTGCAGGAGAATGCGTATACAAACGACCAACGCTTGACCAGATCTGCTTCGTGGGGTCGGCATAGTTCGTCAAAGGCGTACTAGCTGGGGGCCAGGGTGACCGTGCCCCCGCCTCGGTTCAAACAGGCTGGGGGCTAGCAATGTCTGTATCTGCCCCTCTATATGCCCCCCCCCCCCCAAACAAACAATGGGCCCCCATGGGCGTATGGGGCTCTGGCACTTATTCGATTGTCACGAGGCTCAAGAATCCCACGCCAGCTATTAACAGCTTCCAAACCAGTCTTTGAGGGTCCTACACTGATCTCGGAGGGCCCTTCAATGGCGGTCAAGCGCCCACATTGACCTCTGAGAACCCACATTGACCTCTGAGGGTCCTCCACTGGCATTTGAGGGCCCCTAAACCGGCCTCAAGGGCCCAGCCGACGTCTGAGGGCCTCACACCGGCCTCTGGTGGCCTCATTTCTGTCTCTGGGGTCTCAAGACTAGCCTTTAGGTGCCTCTGAGGGCCCCGCACTGAATTCTGGAGACCCGATGCCGGCCTCTAAGGGTCTGCATCGGCCTCTGAGGGTCCATCTTGGCCTTAGGGGTCCAACGCCGGCCCATGCCGGTCTGTTACGGTCCCACACTGACCTCTAAGGGCCCATGCTGGCCTGTAAGGACCCACATTAGCCTCTGAGGGCCTTGCACTGGATTATGAAGACCGATGCTGGCCTCAGAGGCCCATCTTGGTTTTTGAGGGCCTTCTGCTGGCCTCTGGGGTCCAACGCCGGCCCATGCCGGCATTTTAGGGTCCCACACTGACCTCTGAGGGCCCATGCTGGCCTGTAAGGACCCACATTAGCCTCTGATGGCCCAAGTCTCAAACTGCTCTTTGCAGGCCCTGTACTGGTCTCTGAGGGCCTTAACCCTCGCCGGCCGAGGGAGGGGTGCCGCCCCTCCATATAGTTTTTTTTTTCGCGATAGCTCCGAACACGCCGGCGATAGAGAGCTGAAGCTTGGCATACCTGACCTTTGAATCAAGCCGGATCTTTTGACACCAACCGCATTTTCGGGTCAGATCAGGTCACTGACCTATGAGGTCATAAGTGAACCTCTGCACGGTCTTCAGATGTCGCAACTTCGCAACGCCCTCACTGCCAGAGGAAATGTCACAGGAAAATAAGCCTTGCAGGACCTAGTATCCATTAGAAGTCTCACAACTTGTACATTTCGGAGTTTCTTAAGGTCATATGAGGTCAGGTCATTTTCGTGACCTCACCATTAGGTAAGTCAATGGTGATAAACTGAAAACTTTTTCTGGCGCCGGGAACGATCTCCAACTATCTCAAGCACACCGAATCGTGATTTCATGCACTCCTTGCAAGGTTCGATGCGTCACTTTTGCAATGTTGACCTTGCGCGACGTCATTTATGACGTTATAAGGGTCATATTAGTTTTTCGTCAATAACTACCGATCAAATTGAGCTAGCGAGTCGGGAAAGCCACCAATGGACTCAGGAAGACCTTCCGAATCGAAGGATATGAGACATGACCTCATTCGACCAATTTCGTGACCTGGGGGCGCTGACCTGACCGTGACCCGAGGTCAACGCTCTAAGTTTACCTCACCCAAACAAAAAGTATATCATTCGACGCGCCTGAGAGAGGCTAACACGATGCTGGCAAAATCGCGGCTCTGTGGCTGTTTTTTGCGAAGTTATTCACCAAAAATGGAATTGTGCCTTGAGGCACTTGACTTGACCTCAGGTCAACGGTTGACCTAGGACCTTAAAATCGGGTATCGATCTCTGCGTCTCGTAACGGCGCACACGCTCGTTTTTTCCGCGACGCGCTAGCTCCACCTGGGGCAAAACGGCGAGGGGGGTCGTACCTGCTCCCCGCCCCCTCGGCCGGCGCGTATGTAGAAAACTTATAGGTCCGGGCCTGCGAGTGTTAAACGGCCTCTGAGGGCCCAGACCGGCCTCTAAAAGTCCCACACCGGCCTCTGACAGTCAATCAGCCCAGTTGCAGTGGTCGCTAATATAAAACCTCTTAAAAACGTTACAAGCCTGGCTGAGCCTAGCTGGGCCGTTCATGCTGATTTTTATAGGTATATTGAAAAGACTCGCTTTGCACATTTCACGCTTGCCCTTAATGAAAAAGCTGCTGGATGCCTCTGGAATTTGCATGGGTGCCAAAGGCTGCGGAGGACAGGGGAACGCGTCAATCAGTTTGAGTTTATGGACGGGACTCTCCCTGAAATTTAACTACTTTTATTTTTGGTTTTGTCTCGATTTTTTTTACCTCTGAGCATGTTTGCGAAAACAAAGTGGCCGAAATCCGAGGAGAAATTGGATTTTGGGGGTGGGTTAGGTTTTAGACCTCTGGGAGCCTGCCCCCCCCCCCCCACTTTCGAAGACGTTCCTACGCCTATGGTTAGAACCGAAAAGGATCAGA